TCTTCTTCTGTTCAAGTCCGGCTGCTAATGTGAATTGCTGAGCTTTGTTGCTGGTCTTGACATATTCTGCAGGCTGTGATAAGGGAGTAATCGTAGGTTTCTGTTCCATAGCACTAGTACCATCTCTGGTTAATGGGGTATCCATTGAAATGTTGGTGATGACCTGAAGCTCGGTAGTGTCAGCGGAATATTCAACCAAAAACTTGTCATTGTTAAGGTGATAAGAAGCAAGTTCGTGTATTGGTGGTGCATAGTCCGAAGTCCATATGTCTTCTTTGGTATCAAAGGAATCATCATCGTCATCAGGAATGGGATCAAGGTTGGGCAAGACTGGAGATGCTTCTTCATCAGGGATTTCTTTGATGGTGGTTCATGGTGATGACTCTCTGGGTGATACTTCAATTGGAATTGGTTTTGCAGAATGACTTCATTGGAAGAGAAGCAGGAGGCCATTCTTTCATCGTTCGTTGTCAATGTCTTCCTTGATCAGATTGCTCTTCTCAGTTCAAGAGAGCTTAAGCGTTTCCTCTTTCCATCTGATTACTGGATCCATGGCCTGTAGCCAGGGGATTCTGAGTAAAATCTGATCATGACGACTGAGTCGTGTGATATTGAACTTCCCAATCATTGATCGTTCATTGATTTTCACTATGAGGACGCAATATTGAGTGATAGCACCACCCTTTGCATAACTCCCATCTGTGGTGGTAACTCTGAATGGCTTGGTTAACTTGTGCATCCTGATGTTATGGGTTTTGACAAAGTCTTCAGAAATGAATGTTCTGGCAGCGCTGGAGTCAACAACTGCGGCTGTTTCGACAGTTTTCAGACAGGTTTTCAAGATACAGGAAATGGGAATGTGAAGTTCCTTTCTGATTCCAATACTTTGTACAAGTCTGATAGGTACATCGGAAGATACTGATGTCAATCCAGTCTTCCACATCAAAAATCCATGGCAAGGCGGCGGATCATTGTATCTTCATCTTCTTTGTCACTTTCCTCTATTTCTTCACAATGAACTGGGGTTTTCCTGTTCCTCTTCTGCAGGCAAGCCCTGGTCATGTGTCCCTTCTGGTGACACATGAAGCATAACCCTTTCTTCATATGGTCATTCCTTTCTGCTTCAGAAAGATGATCTACCTCCATGGCATTAGGATCATGCCAGTCAATGGATGGTCTAGGCATGTATTGCTGTCCAGTTGGTTTGGTGGTAGTGCGATTGTTCTGCCAGAAGGTGACACCTCTCTGCCAATTGCTGTCAAGCCTAATGGCTGCGGTGACATATTTGTCGAAATCTGTGGGAATGGTTTCCATCTGGAAAATGGAATTGACAATCCCTTTCTTCAGTCCATCATTGAAAAACGTGATTAAAATGGCATCTTGCTTTATGGAGGCTTGTGCGGCAAGGGTTTTAAAGCTAGTGATGTAGGAGGTGAGGTCGCTCGTTTGTTTCAAGGTGCAGAGCTTGTTCATGGCCATGCCAATAGCATTGGCTGGTACAAAGGCTTCTTTGAATTTAGTTTCAAAGTTCGCAAAGGTTCCATAGGATTTGGAGGCGGAATTATCAACTTCGGTGTAAAAGGTGAGGGCCCATCCCATGGCACTATCTTCAGTCATATATGTGAGGGCAGTGATGACTTTCTTTTCGTCGGTGTTGTAGATCATAGCATTAAGCGCAAAATACACCTTAATTGCATACAACCATCATAAAGCCTGCTGGGGGCTCCCATCATAAGACATTGGAGCTCCAGCTTTGAGTTCTGAGGTGGTGGCAGGTGCTAACATCCTGATCGTCTGGTCTAGTGATGTGTCTGATTACAGGGGACATTTCATCTCTCTCTGTCTGATTCTGTTTTCTGGGTTCTGGGACCTCTCTGATGGAGAGGGTCGGAGTAGGACTTTAATCTTTTGTTATGAACTAGGATAGTCGCAACAACAGCTACTCGATAAGAGCAATGGCTGAAGTTGAATCAAGACCTCTACAAATGTAAAGGTTGTAAGACAAAGTGAAGAGAGTGTCTTTGCTTTGAATATCTGTCTCTTAGATGACTTAGGATTGGGGGTCCTAAGCGAAAGAATGTTCTGGTGAAGACCTAGTAAGATTAAAGTGAAGATCTACTAAGTACATGACCAGGTATATATAGTAAGTCAGTACTTTAGGGCAAGTACAATGAGTCAGAGATAAGAGACGAGTCAGAGATAAGCAATGAGTCAGAGATAAGTGACAAGTCAGAGATAAGCAATGAGTCATCTAACGACGGTGGTGGCGATTGTGATGTAATACAAGTATAGAAATGAATGAGTCAATGATGGCGCATCGTGGTGCAGTCATGACGTAATACAAATGTAAGCAAGGAAAAATGAATAGGGGCAGGTGTAACTGTAACAGTGTGTCTGCAAGAAATATGGGGTTCCCCATGTTGTTTCAATAGCAACCTGGTACTGACATCTGCGCAATGCTGGTATGCAAGAGGAGAAAGACTGTATTTGAACTGGAAGAGTGTTATGAGGTGGTAGCTTGCAACCTCTGAGTCATATCCCTGGATCTGCCACTAGTATTGCTTCTGGAAGTGCCACTTGCAACATTTCAGAACCTCTGAACATTCATGGCAATGTTGCAATGGATGTGCTTCCTCATACAAAACAGCAAGATAATGATGCTGCTTGGAGAATTGGGTGTTGCAAGTGTGCTCAGATCACTAAGACTGAGCCAGTTGACCACACTGAACAGGATAAAATTCTGGTATGTAAAATTTCACCAAACTAATTGAACCATTGATATTGACAACCACATTCAAGCCACCTATTAAGGTTGTGTGCTCAAGGGGGTTGGATCACAAGGGCTTGGCCTCAGCTTGTACACTGTGCCCCTTTCCTGAGTATGTACCCTTAATTTCTGGGGGCTAGAATAGTCGTCTGGAGTTTCCAGGATTTGACTAGGGTGGACAACGGATGTCCGGATTTGAAATGTGAGATAAATCTGATGGACGTCCAGATGTTACTTGGGCAAGTGGATAAGACTAATCCAGATAAAGTCTGGACTAGAAACTAACAGAGGATAGACTACCTTAAGGTAGAGTCAGAAATGTAGTCTAGGATGCAATCCTAAGACTTGGAATATGACAAGAGACTTGTCTTGAGTCCGGAGGACACAGGAATGAGCAGGAACTAAGATGATATTCAAACTGGAGTATTTCTGAGAGTTACAGGAGGTCTATATACTGTAGGTATCATATAGGAATCAATCAGCAAACATAAAGGCTATGTACGAAGCATATGCAAAGTCTATTAGTAAGTAGGACAGATCACAAATAATGAACACTGGAAATGAAATGTATGTAACAGGATCAATAATCAGAAGGGAAACATGGTTAACCAGAGTCTGGAGACAGGGGAAGTCTAAATGGGGTTGGGTGCTGATATGGGGTTTGGATTCTGGAAGGAAGATAAAGGTAGATCAGATCATTTGAGATCTGGATCTTGGATCTGGATATCTGGAGAAGCAGATTTAGAGTTGAGAGTCCAGAATGGCATATGACAATATCCCACAATCTGGACCCACACTCCATCATATTCCCATGCCTTCTGAGCCTATGTCTGGACCCCATTTCATATCCAACTCATTCCCAGTTCTCCCTTCACTGTCTGCCCTATACCTCAGCAGGATCAGCTCCACTGTGGAATTACCCCTGAGCTCTGGACCATTGGATCTCCACTGCTAGCCTGATCTGTACCCCCCTATCCCATCCATTCTATGCACACTCCATCTAGCAAGACATCTGGACTTCACCTCAGTCTTGGATTCTGGACTACATCTACCTTCTCATATCCTGGTCCTGTATCCACCTCATCTTCTGGATCCCTAGATCTCTGGACCTATTCCCACCCTCTGTCTGATATCCTGTACCTATCCCCATTTAGGCATCTCTGCCTTTCTGGCTTTCAGTTACCTCTTGTTCCATCTTGCTTATTGATCCTTGTATGAGTCTTCATCTCTGAGTTCATTTACTTATGTTCCATCTTACTTACTAATGTGTTTCCACATGCTTGTACATAGCCCTGCTCCTTTGCTTACTGGTCCCCTCAGGTATTCTCCAGTATATAACCCCTGTACATACTCCTGTAGTTTCCTTAGTTTGAATATCATCTTAGACTTTGCTCTACTTGCCCAATCCTCTCTGACTTTGGTCCACCTAAGTCTGTCCTATCCATCAGGCCTAGGGATTGATTCCCTAGGCTGGACCTTTGCCTTTCTGGCACTTACCCTCTTTCTGGACTTAGGTCCAATCCCTGTCCCTCTGACTCTACCTTAGGGTAGTCTACCTCTGTTTGTTTCTATATTGGACTTTGTCCAATGTAGCCCCTATTCTTCTGGACCTCCAGATGTCCTGTCCTTCAGACATCCCACCCTCTGTACCTTTGGACATCCTGTCCTTCTGTCCTCCATCCTCCTTTCCTCTGGACCTTTGGACCTCCTATCCTTCCATCCTGTTTCCTGTAGAAGTATTACTTTGCAGTGGGAACTCTCTCACACTCCTCCAGAAGTCCTCTAACACTCCACCAGAGTAGCCAGCCTCCAGAAGTCCTCCAGACTTCATTGGACCATCATTGGACCTCATTTGAAATGAAGGGCACATACTTGGGTAAGGGGCACAGCATACGAGCTGAGGCCAAGCCCCTCTGAGTCAGTCTCTCCCTCTGCTTTGAGCAAACTGGTTCTTAACAGCTCCCAGATAAAAACTTCGAGTTCAGGGCTGAAAATTACATCTATTAGTGAACTGAATCTACAAAAATGATACTTACTATTAAACCCAGTGGCATAAATTTATGTCAAGTTTCCTGCAAAACCACTTGACATCTAATAGAACAGATTCTTGCTCAATTCTGTGCTGGCTGTGTGAGATAACTGCGAATACTTGTCCTATGTAGCATGTGTTATTGAGGTCCACTTGGATGATAGAATTCAAGGCTTTGATCAGTGATGATGAAGAGGCAACATGTCAACCATCAAGTATAATATAGTTGTAAAAATTTGTGTGTGTAAGGAGATAGTTCAGGTCTGAATTTTCTGTGCTTGCATGGGTCATAATGCTGACAATGCAAGCTTGTGGGTTGGTGTTCTGGTAGTGAATGATAAGCTGGTGTTGCTGATTGTGTGATAGTCCAGATTTTGTGTGTGTGCCCAGGCAAAATTGGATGTTCACTGAGTTGGAGCCCTGTAAGTCAGTGTATATATTTTGGGATCATTAAGGCTCACCATCAACACTCGACTGCTCAGTTTCAAGGGCAAGAGATGCTACTGTACCTCAGGGTGTTGCTATCTGTAGCTAACATCAGCTGAATGCAATCAATGACTGATCTGTCATTCTCATCTGCCAACTTTTCAGCTGCTAATATGTTACCAAGCTAGAGACATAATGTGAGTTTGATTCATTGACAATTTGGACAATACAGACCATCATTTGAAGCTCTTGATCCTTCTCAAATGCATGGAAGAAGCTGACCTCAAGTTCTCCTGTGCCATGGTTGTTTGTAGAGTAGTTTGTTGAGCCTTTCAAACAGGAATGTCCAGAATCTGTACACTGGCCCATAATCATGCAGTTGATCAAATATATGTGTCACCCAATGGTGTGTCAGCTTCACATCTTTTGGATGAATCTGCTTGCCTTCATTAGCAAATAATTTCATGCTAAAATGAGATGTACCTTGATGAACTTAATCAAATATTCATGAAGGATGTGTTTCGCTTGTGGAATATCAGCATCCTTGATGGTTTGACCAAGGATGATCTTCAATGCAGCAGCAAGATTAAGGAAATTACTTCCACTGTCCTTGTGCATCTGCATGACCAGCTTTTTGCTCGCTTTCTCATCTCCCTTCTTTGCCTTACCAGTTGCATTCCTTTTGATGTGATCTGCTGTCTTAATAACCAAGGGTCTTATATAAATGCTTGTAAAATATAATGACACCACAATTACACTAGGATAAGACTTCTTGCCAGTCCTCGATTAACACAGTCTACAACTTTTCTTCTTTTGTGGTAGATAATGTGTGAGTTCTTGGGAGGCTCGCTAAACCAATCTATGTGATTAATTTAGTTGGAGCTTTTGTGTTTTATCCCAACTTATAAACTTGTCTAGGATAAACCATCTAGACACTGGAACGTGGTTCCTTGTTAAGATAATTCTCTGTAGAGACAACAGTCTCAAATACAAATATGTTGATCAAAGACTGGTTGGTCAAATAGGCACAAAGTGGTGAGAAACTGGTCTCACAAATGAACAGATTGACCAAAGCTCGTGTTGGTCAATATCAGAAAACTAGGTGAGAAGCTGAGCCACTTCAGTGACAAACTCCGTATTATATGGGTCACCCAACCTACATAATATCCCATATAAGACGGGCCAGTGGACTATGGGCCAATGTTATGTATATCCTTGATGTTGATGGGTGGGCCAGGAGGGATATTATTTCCAATGGGGATGGGTGGGCCCATCTATGCCAATGTTATAAATATCCTCGATGATGGTGGATGGGCCAGAAGAAATATTATTACTGATGGAGATGGATGAGCCCATCTGGGCAATATGTAGAGTAGGATAGACATATATTATAGACAGCTGGGCTGAAGAGAGATGTATGGCAGATATTATTATATAGACAGGTGGGCTGATGGGGTGGTGAAATATTTATTATATATATGTGTGGGCCAATGGGGCAGTGAAATATGTATTATATATATGGGTGGGCTGATGGGGTGGTGAAATATGTATTATATAGATGGGTGGGCCCAGATACATACCATTTAGACATATGGGCTGAGGTATTGGTATAATACCCCTATATGAGTGCATATACCTACCATTGACCATGGAAACCCAAAACTTGAAAGCCTGAATACACCATGTCTGACATTCACCAAGTACAGAAACCAGAAACCAGAAACTCAAACATCAAAACAAACTTCAAAACTCAACACTCAAAACTTATACATTTTTATGAGTTTTGAGTCTTGAATCACTGAGTACCAAGTACCAAAACCTGAAACTCAAACATTGAAATTCAAAACTCTTCACCATGCCAAGTACTGAATGCCAACACCCAAAGTTTCATGTTGGGTGGGTCCAGGTAGTTGTTATCATATACACAGGTGGGCCCAGGTAAATAGTGCAATAAACATAACTAGGCTGAGATAGTTGGATAACATACAAATCAGTGTGCTGATGTAGGCACCAGAGAATCGAGCACATGGAGTACATACCCACTATATGAGTGCATATACCTACCATCAACCACCAAAGCCCAAAGCCTGAAAACCTGAATACACCATGTCTGACATTCACCAATCACTGAGTACCAAAGCCCAAAAGCCCAAAAACTGAAACCCAGTGTGCAACACATCCATTTTTCATTCACCATAAATCACTGAGTCTTGAAACCTGAACACCCAAAACTCCAAACTTGAATCTCACAAAAATGTATATAACATGTAAAAAAATTATTCCATTACACAAATCACTGAGTGTCAAGTGCCAAAACCCAAAACCTGAGGCCCAAAACCCAAAACCTGAAGCCTGAAACTCGAGACTTGAAACCTGAGATGTGAAAACCAAAAACCAAAAACTGAAAACCAAACACCAAACACCAAATCTTGAAAAAATGTATATAACATGAAATTATTTTATTTTACTACACAAATCATTGAGTGTGGAGTGCCAAAACTCAAAACCCAAGGCCCAAGGCCCGAAACCCAAAGCCTGAAACTCAAGACTTGACACCTGAAATTTGAAAACCAAAAACCAAACACCAAATCTCAAAGAAATGCATATAACATGAAATTTTTGATTTCATTGCACAATTCACTGAGTGTCAAGTGCCAAAACCCAAAACCCAAGGCCCAAAACCTGAAGCCTGAAACTCGAGACTTGACACCCAAAATTTGAAAACCAAAAACCAAACACCAAATCTCAAAGAAATGCATATAACATGAAATTTTTTTATTTCATTGCACAATTCACTGAGTGTTGAGTGCTGAGCCCCAAAAGCCAAACCCCAAAACTCGAGACTTGAAACCTGAGATGTGAAAACCAAAAACTGAAAACCAAAAACCAAACACCAAATCTTGAAAAAATGCATATAACATGAATTTTTTTTATTTCATTACACAATTTACTGAGTGTTGAGTGCTGAAACCTGAGACCCGAGGCCTGAAACACAAAGCCTGAAACTCGAGACTTGAAACCTGACACTCAAAAACCAAAAACTGCAAACCAAAACTCGAGACTCAATAACCAAATCTCAAAAAAATATATATAACATGAATTTTTTTTATTTCATTAGGGTCTGTACAGACAGTGAAATAAAACAGAAAAAGAAAAAGAAAAAAGAAAATTGTTGGTCATGTGACACTATCACATGACCACCTGGGAAATCCCGGGTACATATTAGATATATCAAAGTTGTTAAGGTCACATGCTCAAAGGGGTTGGATCACAAGGGCTTGGCCTCAGCTCGTACACTGTGCCCCTTTCCCGAGTATGTGCCCTTAATTTCCAGGGGCTAGAACAGTCATCCGGAGTTTCCAGGATTTGACTAGGGTGGATAATGGATGTCCAGATCTGAAACATGAGATAAATCTGACAGACGTCCAGATGTTACCTGGGCAAGCAGATAAGACTAATCTGGACGAAGTCCAGACTAGAAACTAACAGAGGATGGACTACCTTTACAGTAGAGTCGGAAATGTAGTCTGGGATGCAATCCTAAGACTCAGAATATGACAAGAGACTTATCTCGAGTCCGGAGGACACAGGAATGAGCAGGAACTAAGATGATATTCAAACTGGAGTATTTCCAAGAGTTACAGGAGGTTTATATACTGTAGGTATCATATAGGAATCAGTCAGCAAACATAAAGGCTATGTACGAAGCATATGCAATGTCTATTAGTAAGTAGGACGGATCACAAATAATGAACACCGGAAATGAAATGTATGTAACAGATCAATAATCAAAAGGGAGACATGGTTAACCAGAGTCTGGAGACAGGGGCAGTCTAAATGGGGTTGGGCGCTGATATAGGGTTTGGATTCCAGAAGGGAGATAAAGATAGATCAGATCATTTGAGATCTGGATCTCGGATCTGGATATCCAGAGAAGTGGATTTAGAGTTGAGAGTCCAGAATGGCATATGACAAAAGTGTACATAGCGCTTATCAATTGACATGATGGAATCCAATGTAGGATCTGCAGGATCTGGACGGTCCCTCTGCTCCCAAGGCTCTGTAGACACCCCAGAGACCACACAAACCTCCAATGTCAATGTCTCTAACCATTGGCAAGAATTTGAAGAGACTGCTTTACTTGATCATCTCACTGCTGAGCTTTCTACCTCTGGTGACAGCTTGAACTTCCCCAAGCATGTGTAGAAGAGTGCATCTGAGTATGTAAATTCAGCCCCTGCTCCCTCTGGGTCCAAGACGCACTCCAACAAACTACCTGGGTCCTGCAAGAGCAAATGGAGGAACCTTAAGGGCGCATTTCTCCAAGTTCAGTTCATCAAGAGCACTTCTGGTCTTACATGGAGTGATGCAGATGGAGTAGGGGTGTCACCTGAGAACCAGAGTGTATGGAATGAACTTGTGAGGGTGAGTATGCTGTGGTCTACTTGTGATCAGTCCTGATATTTTTTTTCAAGAGCCACCCTGCAGCAAAGCCCTTTGCCAACAAAGGCTTCATTCACTTTGCCACCATTGATGAAATGATGCACAATAAGAAGGGGAAGAACAAAGCCAAAGGAGCATTTGTTCTTCGCAGAAAGAAGGTGCCTGCCTCCAGCTCTTCTATGCTTCCTCCACCCATTCCTTCATCCAGTCGTGCCATGCTTCCTGAAACTGGGAATGTGCTCAATCTTTCCTCTCTATCTACCTCTGTGGACAATATACTATTAACCACCAGTTCTCCTTCCAACAGCTCACCGGTTCCTACTCCCACCTCTCCCTACTCATTCATCACCTCTACCAACCCCTCTGTGATGACCAGTGCCAGCCATAGCAGCAATAAGCGCAAACATAGCGCTCTTGGCCATGGCGCCAGTGAAACTTCTCAGAAGAAGCCATGCACTCCATCTGCTAGCATGCAGGCCCAACAGGAGGGGAGTGCTGCGATGTCAAAGCTCATTGATGTTGTAGGAGACTTGAGCAAGACATTCACTGAAAGCTCACACATGCCCCCATTTCCACACCGCTCACCAAACCCCAATGCTACCTCTCATTTGGTGCAAGCCATTGACATTATTCATCATGACCCAGGGTTGTCAGTAGAGGACATTCTAGACATGGTTGATCACTTCTCACATGCTGAAAATGAGGCCAGTGCGGTCGCATATGTTGCTCTGAGTGATGCTCAACTTAGGTCCATGTGGATATTGAGGAGGCTCAAGGAGCTCCGTGCCACATCCAAGTAGTGTCTATACTCCCTCAAATAATTAGATAGTTTGTAGTACACTTGCATGTCCTCCCTTGTTGTGCTCCCAAATATTGATTCATTTGATTCATTCATTGAGTACAAAGTAAACTATTGTTGACCAGGCACAGGTAGACCATGACGTACATGTTCTGCGCAATAATCCTCCCACATTTCGGCAGTGATTTCCTCCCGACATTGCTCTGCTCTTTGCTGTTCTGCTCTATCAGCAGGGCCTTCAGCCAACTCTCCAACATCACCTCCATCACCTCCAAAGACCTCCAAATCATCATTGATATCAAATACAGCTGGGTCATATCTACGAATAAAGTTATGTAATGCACAAAGTGCTGCAGGTATACATGCTTGGACTTCCATTCCATACTCTGGGGGCAATTGTAGAATGCACCACTGGCGCTTCATGACCCCAAAAATACGTTCCACGATATTGTGTAGACAAGCATGGTGATGGTTGAAGAGTTCTTTGGGAGTTTGAGGGCTACATAGGTACCTAATTAGAAAGAAATCACAGAGAGAGAGAATAAAAACTCATGAGATGTCTGCTTGCTGCCATTCCTTCAGGTGATAGCATACACCCCAGTATGGGACCAACAGAGCATCACAGGACCTGAAGCCCGTGTCTGCAAGCAGATACAGCCCTCCTGGGATCCATAGGTCATTTTGGCATGCGTTGTGCCAAAGCAATGCATCCGCAACTGATTTGTCCCACCCACAAAGTGAATAGATGAATAAGAAGTTGAAGTCACAGATGAAGAGACAGTTTTGTGACAGGTAGCCTTTCCAGTTATGCATGGTATCGTGATCTTCGTCTGCTGAGAATACCTGAATATGGGTACCATCAACAGCGCCAATACAGTTGTGAAAGAAGCAGTAGCACGGGTCATTGTATATGGTCGAAGAGATGGGTGTTTCACCAGTGGGGAACTTGACTTGGGTATCATAGAATTCAGTTTCAGAAAAAAAAACAAGCAAGTGCCTGAAGTATCTGATACAACATCAGATATCACAATAAAATGAATCATAGGAGAATTACCTTGAAATTGTATCAGGTGAACGCTGGAATCGTTTGCCAAGATGGCAAGTTGAAAGTCCTGTAACACAGGTGTACAGGAATATAGTGAGCTGTTCCTCCACAGATACACCATTGCAAGAATGTGTAAAACTGTTGGTCTTGAGAACTTGCACCAATGCTTCAAACACCTCTAGGCTGACACCAAGATTATTTTTGATGTGGTCTGGGTGGCCTGTAAGGAGTTCACAGACCCATGCATAGCCTGACAATGCTGATGTGTGATATGGGATGTGGGGGGAAGGAGATAAGAATAAAAGTTGATACATGTACACTAATTGGGACACTATGCATGTTACAATAAAAACCAGGCAGTGTCTGCATGTCTCCTCACACTGCCAGAGGTCAAATAAAACATGCTGGTAAGGATACGTCATTGTTATCACTGCACTGCCAGTGCTAGTGAGAATCTAGGGTTTCCAGGTGGTCATGTGATAGTGTCACATGACTGACGATTTTCTTTTTTCTTTTTCTTTTTCTGTTTTATTTCACTGTCCGTACAGACCCTTACACAATTCACTGAGTGTTGAGTGCTGAAGCCTGAAACCAGAAACCTGGTACTACTGACTTCTGAGTGTTGGGACTCAAGACTCGGTAGTCAATATAGGCAAATGATGATGAAATAATGAAAGTTGTTATTATGCTTAACTTTCTTAATGAAGGTTGTAGTCTGAGTCAAGGTGAGTGTCTTGGTAGTCTTTCCTTGTCAATTGGTTATCATTTGACCAAGATATAAGCTAAAGAAATCCAAAACATTGGCAATAATGAAAAAATGACAAACATTGTTATGCTTAACTTCCTGTCATATGCCATCCTGGACTCTCAACTCTAAATCCGCTTCTCCAGATATCCAGATCCAAGATCTGGATTTCCAATGATCTGATCTATCTTTATCTTCCTTCCAGAATCCAAACTCTATATCAGCGCCCAACCCCATTTAGACTTCCCCTGTCTCCAGACTCCAGTTAACTATGTTTCCCTTCTGATTATTGATTCAATACATACATTTCATTTCTGATATGCATTATTAGTGATCCATCCTACTTACTAATAGACTTTGCATATGCTTCGTACATAGCCTTTGTGTTTGCTGACTGATTCCTATATGATACCTACAGTATATAGACCTCCTGTAGCTCTCAGAAATACTTCAGTTCAAATATCATCTTAGTTCCTGCTCATTCCTGTGTCCTCCGGACTTGAGCCAAGTCTCTTGTCATATTCTGAGTCTTAGGATTGCATCCTAGACTACATTTCCAACTCTACCTTAGGGTAGTCTATCCCCTGTTAGTTTCTAGTTCAGACTTTGTCTGGATTAGCCTTATCTGCTTGTCCAAGTAACATCCAGACATCTGTTGTCCACCCTAGTCAAATCCCGGAAACTCTGGACAACTATTCTAGCCCCTGGAAATTAAGGGCACATACTCGGGAAAGGGGCACAGTGTATGAGCTGAGGCCAAGCCCTTGTGATCCAACCCCCTTGAGCACACAACCTTAACAATAACATTCATCTAGCCTATGTCAGGGAGAAAGAATGGTAACCTGTGACAAAGGCACTCGTACACTACTATTGCAACTGTCAACACTTGATGAACAATGAACAGTTTTGATTGACTACCATGCTAAGGTCACAGATAGCATGTAAAGGGCATACACTGTAAGCCTGACTGCTATCTGACTATCATCAGTCGCCAGTGCTAGTGAGTCTTTGGTCTGGCTCAGCACGGAAATTGTAATGCAAGTGAGCTGTCAGTAATCTCAGTGAAATGATATGCAATAGTAGTAATTGTATGTGAATAAAGTAATATAAAAAATACAGGAAGCATGCTAATGTTACACCAGATAGAAGAGAAACTGAGTTCAGGCAATATGGTACAGGGTATCATTAAGCAGAAATCTGGAAAAGCGAAGGTATGAATTCTGATAAGCAAACAGACAGGCATGAGAGCATACCTTTCTAGTTTGTGATGAAGCTGGCTTTGCTTTTGAGATAAGGTAGCAGTTGTGTGGATTCTACCTACCTCATGTGACCAGCATTGTGACAAGATTGTGAATAGCTAATATCTATTGAGCAACTAAACATACAGGAAATCTGTGTTGCTATATGTTGAAGGGGATGAATAGGATCAAAACAGCATTTTCAGAATTGTGCTGTGAGCAAAAATGAGAGAGTTATTAAGTAAATACTAGAATGAAGCTGATTATTGAGTAAAGTACTGCAACTCCACTAGTTCAGTATCTGTTAAGGTCGTACTCAAGGGCTAACTGGATCCAAAGGGCTTCGGCCTCAGCTTGTGTGCTGTGCCCCTTACTTGAGTATTGCCCCTTATTTCAGGAAGGCAAGACTAACACATCTGGAGGGTTGGACGGGTAGTGTAGTGGATCCAGATGACTTCTGGATGTGGGATAAGTATCATAAGGCTAATCCGGATGAGTCCAGACTAGAAACTAGCGGTAGTGACTGTCATAGACAGAGGCGGATGCGGATAGACTATAGGAATCAATCCTAAGTCTCGGAGGGTGACAAGAGTAGAGATACTCAGGTCCAGAGGACAGGAATGAGCAGAACTAAGTTGATATTCAAACTGAGGTGCTACAGAGAGTTACAGGAGGTTATATACTATAGGTATCTAACAGAATGATCAATCAGCAGAGTCTGAGGCTATGTATGAAGCATGTGGATAGTCTATTGGTAAGTAGAAATGGATCACAAATCATGAAACGGAAATGAAGCATAGGTAATGGATCAGGGAGCAGGACGGATATACTGATAGCCAAAATACCAGAGTTAGGGGATTACTGAAAGGGGATGAGTGCTGGTTGTGGATTCAGATGAATTGTGGACTGGACTGGATGAGTGGACAGATTGGATGATGAGATGTTGGAGGGAGATAAGATGTGGATAGGATTGGAGATAAGATGTGAATCGGATCTGAGATGAGATAAGGATTGGATCTGAGATCTGGATATGCAGATATGACAGCATCTGGCGGCACAACCTGGCAAGCTGGCAGCACACAGCACACTCAGGCTGGCAATGGGGCGACGAAAACAAGCCCACAGTATATGGACTTCAAATCTGCATCCAAAGAAAGTGAAACAATCAAAAGAATATGTCAGTAACAAGGAAAATATGAATTTCAAATTAAACACTACTCTTGGCCCTTAAGTTGCTGAAGGTAATTTGAAAAAAGGACTATCTGGTGCAGATA